CCTGAGTCCGCCATACGTGGTCAATGCTCAACTTCAATCACAAAGGAAGAACAAGGTTCGGGGACAGCACAAGAACGGGAAATCCGCAAATCGACCAACTCCCAGGCCAACGGCACAAACTTTGAGGGGACTGACGTCTATCAGAGGCCCTGCCGTAGCGGGAGAAGTTCGATTGATTACATCCAGACCAAGGGGAAGAAGTACACCCAGTCCCGTTACTACGACGACAATTCGAACCAGTCCAACTACCAAAATAAAAACGACAACGGTCTTGACCACTAGGCAAAAAATCATTGAACCGGTCACGATCACACCGCCGCTTCAAAGAGGTTTGATTCTAATGGAACCTGCTGCGAAAGCAGCCACCAATAAGGTTCCAGCAATCTTTCAACAATATCCTAAGATCCAGCAACTCTATCCTCTTTATCCTGTTTATGCTGGCGCTCGTGGAGCTGGACAACAACATGCAACCAGAGCTAAGGGTCTAGACTTATTGCAAGACGAACAATTCGATCCTAGGAATCTACAATTGGATAAGGGTACCCTTATTTGATTGATGCATCTGTTAGGATCGAATCGAGTTGTTCCATCGAACAATGACGTAACTTACCCTCGGAAATTGCTTCAGTTTGCGATCGTAATATCGACCTGGAAATTCCTTATATTGTATATACATTCGTAAAATTATATCAAAAAATTTTTATCACATTTTTATTCATATTTCTATTTTATCGTTATCGTCATTCAAGAATCGTGAAATTTCATGTGTAATATCAAATATCGATCGATTCCTTTTCCGATTTTCTGAATATGCGAGATTTCCTATTCGGTAATTACATCGGACGATTGGTCAAGGATTGAAGAGTCTAATCGAGCGGCAATTATTCATTCATGACGGAAACCAGGTCGTTATATTTTCCATTGCCATTGAAGCCATTCAGCCGTTATATTTTCAAGCGTCATTCGCGTTCATGGATCCATCTCGGTGCGATCTCTTTTTTTCTATCTACTTCTTTCGTTGCACTTTGCATTTCAGTAGTGGTACAATGTGTGTAGAAAAGAGACAATAAAAAAATAGAAAGAAAAAAGAAAGAATGCATAGTAGTATAAGCAAATATCCCGTGGTCATTCAAAGGATACCGAGGGATTTAATCTTGTAGAACTTAAATTTTGCCCTTTTTTCATTTTCACTTATTGTTCGCCGTCTATTCATTGTAAAACTGCACTTGGCCGTAATTGCTGTAATAGCCATTGGTTTTGTTTTTACCCTGATATATCGTCTTACACCACCACCTTCTTCACCTTATTATACTATTATACTCCCCTTTATTTTGTCCATTTAAAGAGTCATTTTTCTCTCTCATTTTTTTTTTTAAATGTTCCACTATCCTGCCACAAATTACGAGAATGCATTGTTTTTCTTTTTCATTTTGTTTTTTCTTCCCTTATTATTATGCGACTCATTTAATTATTCGTCAACGTTTTTCCATGGTAGACGCATAAATACCGATGTGCTTGTAAGAGTAATTAATGATTTGCTTGTTGATTGCATCTCCTGCATCACTGATGTTCTCGATAAATGTATGATTAATTTAGTGTTGTTTACATGCATCGAATAAGAACCATCGATGTGCGATTGTCCTCGCTTCATTTAGATCGCAGTTTGTCCGATGATTTTGCGTAGACTCTTCAATAAACGATAATTGAACAATTTTTATAATACAAACAAAATTCGCTGGTAGTATTCAATTTGTAAGCCCAAGTAATGTAAACTAAAAAAAAAATCAGGATGCTTCGATTGATATTAATTATGATAAATAGTTTCTCGTCGTACACTATAAAAATCAGAATTTTTCTGAAACTATAAATCACATTACATGTAAAACATTCTTACTCCCTATTGTATCTCAAATCCATCATCATATTTCTACTTTACCATTCTACTTTCTTTTAAAATAAGTTAAGTGCTCCTAAACAAAGTTTCCAATGAGAAAAAGATTTAGAAGGTACCTATCAAAAGTATTATCCACTGCTTTTCCTTGTATGTTCACTTAGTTACGCCATTTCATTTCCCATCTCGATTCCACTTTCTGTTAGCACGTAACAGAAGGAACACACGGCTATATCCTTGTTACCAACGAGCAGGAACGTAGAAAAGGAAGAACTTAAGCAAAAGAAATAGAGAGAGAAAGAGAGAGGAGAGAAAGAGGGAAATAAAAGAGAGAGAGAGAGAGAGGAGTGAAAAGCAAACTGTTTCATCGACGATTTGCACGTCCCTCAGCACTTCGTAAAACAAATGTTCACCCTCTTCATCCCTTTTCCTCGTCTCTTCACTCATATCCCCACTCCAAGCCTTTTCCTTCTCTACGCTAGCTCATCTAAGAAGTCGTCCTGACAGTCGTTACTTTACAACCATCTTACACGATCGTAACAAGTGCGCTTTAATACCGACTTTACTGCTGCCTACGAACGGAAGTTTACAGTTTCTACTTCCCTCTTCTTCTTTTCTCTTTTTCTTTCCCTCTTTCTCTCTCTCTCTCTCTCTCTCTCTCTCTCTTTCCAATAAGAATGGATGGAAAGCTAACCAAGGGATAGTCGATTCTTCTTTTACTCTCACGCTTTTCTTTTCTTTCTCTCTTTCTTTCTTCCCCCGTTTTTATCTTTATCTTTTTCTTAGTTTTGCACGACTTTCAGCTATGAAAGTATCCCACCGACGTCGTCAAGACTTTACTAATTTCACGAGAAACAACATCGACTACGTATTTTCCTTTTCTTCCACTTTTTTTTCGTTCATGTCATCCTGTCGTGTTGAAGTGCTTACGATCTTCTTATATCCTCTATAAAAGCTCGAGAACATACAATATTGCTAAAAGACAAATGTATAATCTGCCAGAAATGGTTTATGAAATTTTATATGAATTAAATGTATTTTCCAAAAAAAAAAAGAAAAAGAAAAAAAAGAAAAAAAAAGAACACAAAAAATTAAAGGAAACAATAAAAAATAAAAAATTCTGTTTTTGTCCATGTAGAATTTTTATTCGCGATGTTTTGAAAATTCAGGAAGTAACGTTTTGATAAATTCTCTGTACGAATGTTTATCCGTCAAATGTTTCTTTATTTTTTAACGCTTTAATACAACCATTTTATTCGCCTGTATTCGTAAACGTAAAATTATATTACTTGAATAAATCATCGAAACATCCTGAAAATGCTTATCTTCCTTTGTGTTTGTTCTGTTATCCAACTATCTTACTTTTAGTCGATTTAAACACTTTACACTCTTTATGCCCAAAGTAGATTTAAGCTTATCTTAAATTCAGTGAAGAACTTTATGCTTACCCTCGGAGACTTCTCTGCACGTATGAGGCAAAACTGCGTTTATGAAGAATACTTAAGTCTGTGTGTAAATGTGACCATGTTTATATATATCATAAAAGCACCTGTAGCTAATAGAATACAGTGGTTCTCAAGCTTTGAAAATATTGAAGTGTTTTATCATCCCTCTCCATCGTTTGTTTTCGAAAACGATGAATTTTTAGTTTACGAATCGCTTTCGTAGAAAATAACATCATAATAATCCTTTCTTGATTATGTTATTATCAAATTTAAACAAAAAATTTCTATGAATAAATATATAATCCAACAATTATAATGGTAAGGTAATTATTTTAGATATTTTAGCTTGTTTATGTGCAGCACTATAAATTCTACGTTAATTAATACGAATTTAATACTGGAAGAAATTAATACAGCACTCAGTAAATTTGAATTAAACAGAATTTTATTTCTATCCTTACAGGATCTTAATAACTTCGAAGTCTTATTAAATATTTTTTTTTTCCTTTTCATCGAAGAAGAAAATGTTAATAAAGTTTTTTCTAAAAGTTCTTCCATGGTTTTTTTATTTTTATGAATTTCAGGTAGATCTTGAATCTTCAGTTTTTTAGCTTGCTTGCGCATGCATTATATCAACCACGTAAACCACTTTTCGATTGTATCGTCAATGTACTTACGTTTCGAAATAATACTTTTCTTATTTTAGCAAAACTGTTTATTTCTTCGAGAAAGAGATTCTTAAATAAAAGTATTTACAATTTACCCCGATTCATCCTTAATAATATTCATAAAACTTTTTAATATATACTTTTTCGAAGAGAAGAACAGCAAGAATATGCGAACAGTAGATTGCACTCGAAAATCGATTACGTTGTTTTAATTAAAGCATCAATTTGAACCGATTTACCTTAACGCGAGACAGAGTTTCAAATTTATCGGTCACACTCGAGATCGAAAGCGGGATGCAAACTGAATGAAAATATTTCAAACGGGCGAAGTGAAAATCAACGGTGTCTTTGAAGGCTTTTGTTATACGTATTATTTTATGCTATCGATCGTGAAGCAAAAAAAAAACAAAAAGCAAAAAAGAAAGAGAGAAAAATTAGTGAGACAAAATAAAAAGAAAATCAGAACAGAACAAAAGCCAAATAGAAAAAACATAAACATTGATATCAAATCAAATTGATATCACGTTCATCTCGTTTGGGATTTATTTAAATAATAAACAAAAATAAGTTTTAGTAATGTTATCCATTAAATAAAGATCACTCTGTCATGCGCGATAAGGTATTAACGATTCACAGCATCGTGAAATTTTTCACTGAAACGATTTGACGCTGATTATAGATACCCTTGAGGAGTGGAAGTTGGTGTTTTACGGTACCGAGACATCCTTGGAATTCAACGAGGATTTAGACAAGGACAAACCAAGCATGACGAATGTCCAGCCGGTGGAAATCCAAGACAATACGGCTACTGATGCAAGGCAGAACGTAGTAGACACAGAAGGTGATCCTTGGACTGGTAGCCAACAGGTAGAACGAGTCTCTCATCCTGAGGTACAAAGGCCAACAACGGAGAACCAGACAAACGGATGCGCCAATCTCGATGCCAGAAATGGCAGGTGCCTAGGTGGGTGCCTCATACTACTTCTTCTAGCCTACCTGCTCGTTGAGCCAAACTGCGGATCCTTGATCGTCGATCGCTCTCCCAAAACCGTGGACTCGAGTCTCATTCCTAATTCGAACGTGACAGTTTCCCTTCTTTCGGTCGACTCGATAACGACGAGAACGACGACGATGACGACGACGACGACGACGACGACGGAAAAAAAAGAAGAATGCGTCGTAGATTCTTCGATAGGCGGCTCCTCGAGCATTCATTCGTGTTCATGATGACTTTCTCTTATGGTTTGATTCTATAAAAGAGAGAATGAGTGAACGTAAGTGTGAGAATGAATGAGTGAATCTGCTGAGAGAGAGAGAGAGAGAGAGAGAGAGAGAAAAGAGGGCCTGAGAAATTCTTTTCTTCGCTGAGGAACTCCAGATTTTTTTGTTTTTTTTTTTTTTTTTTTACTACGGATGATTACGAAGACATCGTGAAGATACAAGACATCGAGCTTAAGAATCCCATGGGTTCGTTCATACGAGTTCCCAAGCACGTATCATCCGTAAACGAGAATATACGTACAAGGAACAGCACGATCCCGCGAACGACTTCGCCTAATCTTTAGACGTATGTCGTTTAGTATTAGGGTTAGCCAAATTCTTTGTCTTCGTCTCTATCATAAATATAAAAGAGATAGACGAGAGAACGGGGTAAAAATATCGTGGTTAAATGGTGCCATTAATGGTAACTTCTTATCTAAAATGTCAAACTTGACTTCAGTAATAATTTATAGAAATGTTCTAATATAATGAGTTAATCCGCTCTATCATTCGTTAGTATTTCGTTAGTCGAATACTAATCAAAGTTTCGTATATTTCATCAGCACTATATTAATTGTTTAAACTATATTCGTTTCGAAAACAATATTCGACATAGAATTACAGAAAATTTTAATTGAAGATATTCAATTTCGTTCAAATACTAATTTTCCCGCTTGTCATAAAAAAGAAACAATGCTCCTTAAAGTCGGAGAGATTTAAAAAATTTTATATTACTTGTTTTTGTATTACGGCAAAAAAAAAAGGAAAGAAAGAAAGAAAAAAAGGGAAGCACGTGTTTGCACCTTCTACGTTCGATCTAACGGAACTGAAAGAAAAGAAAGAAGGAAAGAAGAAATCAAAACTAAGAGATTCAATTTTGGAGTGAACGCGCTTCCAACAAAAATCTTGTTCGATATGCCATATATGTAAGAGAAAGAAAGGAGGAGCATCAAGTTCGAAGGTATGTTAATGTGATCTGTCGAGACACTTTCTTCCTTCGTACAATGAGATAAGTAAGACAGCAAAAAGAAAAAGGAAAAAAAAATAAAAAGAATATAAGGTACGGCGAGAAAAGCTGCCATTTACGAGATCGCGATCGAGCGTTTTCACTTATGGTCAATAATACATGATCGATCGATCTATTTCCTATGTAATTCTTATTAATGCGATCTATGTACGATCCTATTTGAACGTTGCCTCGCGTATCTTCTGATACATATATATATATATATATATATATATATATATACTTATTTAAATACATACATACATACATACATACATACATGCATGCATTCGTCGATGCGTGAAACATTGGTGAATTTGTAATCCACTTGGAAGAATTCGAAGTAGATTGTCATTTTGGATCTTTGCAAGGATTCAATGTGTTCCATGAAAAAGACAGAGACAGGGAGAAAGAAAAACATATTTCTATATCTCTTCCTCTTTCTTTTTCATTTGTCTTTAATTTTATTCTCTTCTCCTCTCTTTCTCTCTCTCTCTCTCTCTCTCTCTCTCTCTCTCTCTTTCTCTCTCTCTCTCTCTCTCTCTGTCTTTCTCTCTTTCTCTCTCTCTCTGTCTCTCTCTGTCTCTCTCTCTCTCTCTCTCTATCTCTCTCTCTTACACACACACATACACTTTCTTTGTGACTTATTTTACGTTTTTCACTTCGTGTATATTCCATCTTGGATCTTACATTTTCTCGTTTTCTCATTTCTTTGTTTTTATTTCCGCGTTTCTTTTTCTATCTTATCCTTCCCTAGGGAAATATCCGCTGAGCCATCAGCACTGCCGAAACAATGAACTATATACACTCTCTTTGTCCTTCTCTTTCTTTGCTCACCTTCAATGCTTTTGAGAGAAAGAAATTTTCACGATTGAACTTACTCGAACGTTCATATCGAATTACATATTTTTTAAAAACTTTTTGCAAGCCACAAAACATGGCTGTTCCTTTTCTGTGAACTCCGAGACGAAAGCTCGTAGGTTTGATACATCACGTACTACATACAGACGTGTATGTGTTTTTGTCGAAAAATAAAAAAGTTCATTCGAGAGACAGTCCGCGAGAAAGTTCGTTAAGTTTCGTTTCCAAACTAAACGACTGGTGGCCGTTGGATTTTGTAAAAATCTGGCAAGTCTATAGACAAAGAAAAATAAAAGAGGAAAAACAAATGTAGATCAGATTCGAAAAAGGACGAATTTTTCCGTCCAAAGAGAGAAAAAAAATTGATCGTTCGCTCGACATCAAACTCAACTTCATCGATATTGGCTAAAAATTTTCGTTCACTATTAAAACTCACGTATGTTGATATTTAAAGATGTATAAACCCGTATGTGTAGAATTCTATCTCTCTGTGTATTCGTCTGTGTGTATTTTTCCTGTTAGATCAAAGGACCAAAGAGCTTTGCAAAAACGTTCCCGAAGTATCTATAGAAAAAGGAAAAATAGGAATGCCCGTACTGGAATTGACTAGAAAGCTGGTACTTCCGATATAAAATGAAAGTAAAAAGAAAGAAAAAAGAGCATACAACCATGAACACTCTTTTCTTTTTCCAAATTTTCAACCAAATCGATTGGATAATATCGATTGCGTTTACTATAAAACGTTATTTTATCATCGTGTCGTCATTTGGCAAAAATTACATCTGCAATTGCTAATAGAGCCATCGAAAAATGATAACAATTAATTATATAGGACAAGGAAAGAGAACGTATCAATAATTAATTAATTAATTAATTAATTAATTAATTAATTAATTAATTAATTAATTAATTAATTAAAATGGATTAAAATAAATTGTTTTGTTTTACTCATATTAAATACGAATTTCAGTTATTAAATTTCGATTAAATAACAATTATAATTAATTTGCAAATTTTCATCTTTCGATATTACAACGAATATCTTCAAAGATGGACAAATGAAAATACAATATATACGTACTATAAGAAAGATTGAATGAATGAATGTTAGTACGCATTCAGCTCGGATAATACGTTTTTTCGTCCTTTCGTGTCCACCAGCAACGGTAGCAAACAGCAGCAGCAGCCTTGCTACCGATTTCTTTTTTATTTTGTTACGCTGCTTTACCCGGCTGGTGCTGCTGGCACCAGCAGCACCATGCTCAACTCACGTTCCTGTAGAACATCCAGGCAGCATGAAACGAATAATTCTCTCGGTTGGCGTTCGAGCGGACGAAACGAAACGGAAAATCGAGAGAAAAGAGTCGCGTTGCTGCTTCGCCTACGAAACGACCCAGTTTTCGATTCGTCGTTAACCGGTATGCTTGCTCGTTCTGGCCTTGCTCGTGCTAGACCAAATTAAACCTTCCAAATGTCTCTTTCTTTCTCTCTCTCTTTTTCTCTCTCTCTCTCTCCCTCTCTCTCTCTCTCTCTCTCTCTATCTATCTCTCTCTATCCATCTCTATCTCTATCTCTGTCTCTATCTATCTATCTATCTATCTATCTATCTATCTCTTTATATATATATACATATATATATATATATATATATATATATATATATATATATATATAGCTACAATATTTTCCAAGGGCAAGCTCACTGATTTCCCCGTTTAACACGAAAAGTCGAACATTTCTCTCTACCGTTTGTCTTGAATATTCTTTTTTTCTTTTTCTTTTTTTTTCTTCTTTTCTCTTCTTGTCATTTTTCCTCGAATTTACCGAATTTAACCGAAACACTCTTTTCCTATTTTTTTCCGCTTCTCTTAATCGTTATAGCTATCTCCTGGGTGAAATTTTCCAAAGAAAAAAAAATTAGTTTCTTTATGTAAAATGTGTCAAACATTATTCTCGAGTTTTAAAATCAAAGCGAAATCAAAGAGAGTAATCATGAAAGAACACCCTTCATTATTATATCTATTTCGACAATTATCCAATTCGGAGTTTTAAAAGAGAAAGACGCCCCATTCGACATCTACAAATGGTTTTGTATTTATTGAAAAAATATCCAAATTTATTTCTTCAATCGAGTAGGTTTTGTAATTCAAACAACGTTCGAGGATTGTTCGAATCGTTTTGAAAAAATGTTATTAATATTTTTGCTGTTATCCAATTGGCATATTGGTAGAGGAGATTCTTTTATCGTATTAATGAAAAATCGTTAATTACTAAATCTTTTTATTCTTGGAACGGCTTGGAATGTATTTCACTTGAACGCTTAAAACTGTTCTAAACTTTGTAAACTAATCAGAAAGTGAAAGTTGTTCGATCGATCGATCGAAAGTAGATACTTTATCGAGAAACATTCATCGTTCTTGTTGCATTATATTTCATATCATAATCATAATCGAATGCTGGGCGCAAGAATGGCAATGTGACATGCGATAACGGCAACTGATGGTCATTCAGGATGGAATAATTTATCGCCGTTATCGATTAATCGTAGAGGCAATTTGTCGCATATCAGTTTAATTTGTAAGGGTACTATATCGCATAGGTTTACGACTCTCCGATGATCTTTCATTCTCTCACTTTATTTGTCTTCCTTCCCTAATAAAACAACCCTAAATTTTCCTCTATTTAGCTTTATCGATTGCTTGATCATTGCAATCATTGAGAGATGTCATCGAATCGTCGTTTAATTGATAAATATTGAATTTATTAAATTAAGAATTAAGCCGATGATAATTCTAAAGAGTAAGATTCGTGATTTTTTTATTGATCGTTTTATTAGTTTAGAAACATAGCATATAAATTATCTTCCTAATTTGGATTTCAAAGAAATAAGAAAAAAAGAAATAATATTCTTATAAGATGAAAATGTGTCGCTAATGTATCGTTCGAAGTGATGTTCCTAAATATTCGTACTAATTTGAAATTCGAAAGGGAAAAAAGGGACTCATAGAAAGTTTTTAATGTTCGCCCTTTCGAAGTGTAGTGCATTTAGTGCCCTTACATATCGTATTCAAATCGAATTACGTTCTTCCCTATCTTTTTCGTTATCGTTTTATGAAGTGAAAA